CACGATAGCCAGAAATCAGATCATTAATTTTGAAGCGGATGTACGCAGACACTACAAGTACGTTTCCGGCGAATCGTATCAACTGAATGGCTGCGACAAGGACAACGTCGATAACGCACTGGAAAATGACAGGTCTTCGGACGATCCCAAAGTGAGAATAATTGTATATCCGGTTTAGTCCATCGTAATAAAACAATAACATTATAATCGTCGTTTTCTATGTAAACAATATATTATATACTTCCAATGCGCAGTCACCGTTATTTGTATTAGAGGCCTTTTTAACGAAAAATGGTATCGAGTTCGATAAAACACAAAACGATTTCATCGTTTACGTGTCGTTTCTAATGGAAAACTGGAAATGGATCGTTATCACCCACGTTCCTCCGCTTCTAGACGACATGGAATTCAATGATTTCGCAATGTGAGTTCTAAACAGTAAATACACACATACACCATCATGTAGTGTTGTGTAAACTGATTTTAACAAATAGTTATAATTTATAACTCTATAATACATTACATGCGTGTTACTTACTCATTTCGTTACGCGGAATCCGAATAATTGAAAATAAATTTACAAACATTTTAAAAATCAAAAGAGTACTTATGTAATCATTACTTTTAACTAAACAATTCTAACACTATTTTTATGTGATTCGTGTTTTAAATGTATTAATTATTAGGTGATTATTGGTCCATTTATTTGCAACCAATTCGATTGTATGGGATTGAAATCATTCGTGGCACAATACATTGTTCCTAATGTATGCCATAAAAAATAGATCTTATAGGTTGTATTATTCAATTTTAAATCATATTTTAATTTTATCAACATTTAATACACCAAATTTTAAATATTTTGAAAGTATCGTCATTGATACTCATAATATCTGTTAATAAATAACTACAAAATATTTAGAGAAAATAAAAATAATAATAATATTATACATTTATACACCAAGACCAATAAATGCGTTCATGTGTATTTCTGATACTTTTTAAGAACATAAAATTTGTTTCACATAACGTTATAAGTTATAATTTATTCTGAAAATAACGTTTAAATATTTTCAAGCTATCAAGTTTCGAGCCTTAGTCATAACTATACTAGCTATACTAGCTAGTAGCTAGTACATATATCTACTATATATTTTGGAATATTTAATGTTTTGTGTATGTAATTGTATTTGTCTTATTCAAATATTTTTCTATTTTTAAATAATATATTATTTTTGGGATATTATTTTCAATAGCTATTTTGCTTTTATTTCGATATTGCAATAACACTTGACAATAGAAAATAAATGCAAATACCAAATAAAAGAAATAACTTAATGCTTTTCAAATTATTTTCTTTCCGAAATTAACACATTATTTTTATATGCTATCTAAATTATATATAAAACAAATTAAACGTTATATTTACTAAGAATTATTTATTACGTATTGTCAAAGTGAAAATAAATGTAATTCATGATGAAAATGTTAGCATAATATTAAGTTTCATAGAGAATATTTGACTAATTTCACATATACATAATCAGTTGTTAATACATAATTCTGTATAAATAAATATTTATTCATAATATTTAAAATATAACGTATGGAGTAAAAATGTGAGAAAATAACACAAAAAAATAAATTGATGTTTTGTAACAATTAAGTAGATAGAAAAGTAATTTTTGTTACTGTACTAACTGCATAGGAAACTAAAACTATAAGTGCCTGTTTAATGAAAACTGAAAACTTGATCGATCACAATAAAAATTTTAGCCCGTCGATTTGCGGTAATCAGAATGATCGAGTATGCGGCAACGGACCATCACTGCAATTTGTATTTGAAACTGACAGTGCGTATCAGAGCTCCGCGGAAAAGATATTGAATTATTTCACTACAAATTTTAAGGCGGTACACATGTACTTGACACGTCTGGAATATGTTTACATTATTTACAGGGAAAACGAAGACATCGATCAAGGAAGTATCGTAAATGAAACCAGTAAGTATTTTATCACTTGAGTATACATGCATGAAATTCACCATTCATCGCGCGGAAATATACCTATCGTTTTATTTTCTTAGGCATAAATAATTTTCAAAAAATGTTAGAGAAATACAAACAACAAATAAACGACGTAGATAAAATAAAGACTACACATATTTTGGGAATGTTTCATTTAAAATTACATCTTTTGAAAAATGTTGCTAAACCTACATGCGAATATTTATTAGATCTAGTGGAAAAAACGCTTGTAAAGTATGTGCAAAATCGTATTAAAACCGTATACAGAAAAACTATTTTATCATAAAATAGAAATTAAAAATATTTATTTAGAGCAGGAAAACGGTTAGTGAGTGAACTGTCAAACGAAATAAATGATTCGCTCAAGTACCTTCACACCTCACCATCTACTGCTGCACAATATGTAGATTATAAAAAGTTCTTGGAAAAATTTTCTATAAGGGTTTGTGTTTGAACTATGTAATAATATTACCTACACACTACAATTACACTTAACACAACAATTTACCTTAACATGATTTAATATTCCAGTTAAATGAAATAAATAAAAATCAAAATTACATCCGAGAACTTTATAACTTGGCCGAAAAATTTGAAGTGGCCGTTCCTGATGAGGATGTTGACAATTATAATGTTAATAGTATTATTATAATTTCGTAATTTGTAGTTTAATAATAATAATACACAATTTTTATACAGAATTTATTTACAGAAATTTGTAGATACACTAACTACTTTACAAACAGCGTTTGATGATATTAACAACGAACAAGACAAACTCATTGGAGAATTCGTCAAAAAAATTGATATTCATATAAAAAATATGATTCAAGATTTAGAACAAATAAATACCGAGGCCAATGTAATCATTTATAAATTTACATATTTAAATTCGAATAATTTAAAAATATTTTTGAAAATATTTAAAATAATTTATTAAGAAATTTTTTATAGTTAATAGAACTAAAATTAAATGTTTTATTTTTAACATTAATTGTTATGTTACAAATAATAAACTATTACTATAAACTAAGTACAATACATTTTCACATCAGTTAAGAAATACTGTTTTTATGAGATATTTGAATAGTATTTGTCCAATATTGTAAATAAATAAAAATATATTTAGTATCATATGTTATTTTTTTTTTTTTTTTTTTTAGGATTTATCGTTAACTGATATTAACACTAATAAAGAGGAAGTAAAATTAACTTTATCTAAGCTTAATAACCGATTAGCAGAACACCAAGAAGAATCGATTTTATATGAGTCTTATCAACGTTTCTTTCAAGTGGAAATAACCAAGTTTGATATTCTAAGCGATGCAAGTGAAGCTGTAAAACTCAGAATTTTACTATGGGATAGCTTAGATGAATGGGAAAAAAAAATGTCTATTTGGGAAGAAGACAATTTTCATAATTTAGAAGTAGAACAAATGAACTCATTCTTAGCATTAAATTTAGAATATGTAAAGCAATTCAAAAAAAGTATTCCTGCGTGTAAGCTTGTTGATCTTATCGACAAAAAAGTACAGTCATTCAAAGAAAAAATGTCGATCATAACAATGTTAAGAAATCCAAATCTTAAGAACCATCATTGGATTAAAATTGAGCATATACTTGGAACAACATTTCCGACTAATCAATTTCTTACTCTTATTATGCTCGAAAAGTTAGGCGCTTTCAAATACGGTTCTGAAATAATAAATATTTCAATGCAGGCAAGTTCTGAAGCTACTTTAGAGGCAATGTTGAAGAAAGTTGAAGATTCTTGGAAAATTGTAAATTTAATTGTACTTCCCTACAAAAATACTAACGATATTTTTATACTAGGTTCGTTAGAAGAAGTTCAGTTAACATTAGAAGAAACAAATATAAACTTAAATACTCTCATTTCATCAAAAAACATAATGATGATTAAATCAAAAGTTGAAGAGTGGATAAATTCTATGACCATTATGAATGACATTTTAGTAAGTCATCCTATAATTATATATAACATAAAATTAAAATAAATTATTTTTGGACAAAATTTTGTGTATAGATAGAATGGATTTTGTGCCAAAATAATTGGATCTATTTAGAATCGATATTCGCTGCTCCAGATATACAAAGACAACTTCCGAATGAAGCCAAATTATTTAATCAAGTAAATAATTCATGGAATAGTATAATGCAAAAGGCTGTAAAAAATCCTTTAGCATTAAGCATATGTACTGAAACCGATCTATTAAAAACTCTTATAAAAAACAATCAACAATTAGAACAAATATTGTTATATTTAGAAGCATATTTAGAATCTAAAAGAGTTGTGTTTCCACGATTCTATTTCTTGGCGAACGACGAACTATTAGAAATAATCGCTCAAGTTCGAAATCCTAAAGTTGTACAACCATACATGAACAAATGTTTTGAAGCTATTTGGCGAATTAAATTTAAAAATGAAAACGACGAAGAAAAGCAGTTACAATCTGTAATTAAAGGAAAATATAATGCGTCTACAGACGTTGTTGCCATGATATCTCCAGAAAGAGAAATCGTCAAATTTGTATCACCGATTAAAGCCACTGGTAACGTTGAATTTTGGCTATCCAGGGTAGAAAAGGAAATGGTAAATACACTTCGATGTCTCATGTTAATAGCCATAGAAAATTATAACGAAACTCCAAGAGAAAAATGGGTATTATTGCATGCCGACCAGGTGAAAATTTGAGTAATATTTTTGGTACTGAAATTTGAAACAAGTTATTTTTTCAGCTAGTCATTGTGGTATCACAGATAATATGGTGTCGTGACGTACACTTAATCCTTGAACTTAAATCCAACGTACAAGAATCATTAGTCAAATTTGAACAAAAATGTTTTAAATTAAGTATTTCTACCACAAAATCATATTAAAATCTGCGTTAGGGTTACAATTGTTATCATAATAATGAAGGATTTTTGTATTAGGACCTGAATAATTTAGCAGCTATGGTTCGTCTAGGAAATTTGACCAAACTCCAATGTTCTGGAGTACGAGCATTGATCACAGTTGATGTTCATGCGAGGGATGTGATATCTACTATGGTCGTCCAAAAAATTAATAGCGACGCGCACTTTGAATGGTTGAAACAGCTTCGTTACTATTGGGATAACCTAGACGGTTGTGTCGCGTACTCTATCAACACTCGTTGGTTGTACGCATTTGAATATCTGGGTTCCTCTCCTCGATTAGTGATAACACCGTTAACTGACCGATGCTACTTATGCTTGATGGGTGCGCTTCAATTAAGTCTAGGATGTGCACTGTCTGGACCTACAAGTACCGGAAAGACTGAAACTGCCAAGGACCTTGCCAAAGCATTAGCTACACAATGTATCGTATTCAATTGTTCTAATGGATTAAATTATAAGGTGTAGATATACGTTAGATTAAAATAAATACACTAATCTAAAAAATATATGTATATATTTATGATTCTTCTCCTTTATTTAGACGATAGGCAGATTTTTTTCAGGCTTAGCACAATCGGGAGTGTGGTGTTGTTTTGACGAATTCGACCGAATAGGGATCGAAGTGCTATCGGTCATCGCGCAACAGCTAATTACTATCACGAACGCAAAACTGACTAATGCTAATAAGTTCACATTTGAAGGTCGAGAGATTAGATTTATCAGGACATGTGCAGTATTTATAACAATAAATCCAGAATATGTGGGACGAAGTGAATTACCGGATAATCTACAAGCACTGTTTAGACCTGTATCAATGATGATACCAGACTATAGTTTAATTGCCGAAGTTATATTGTATTCTGAAGGGTTTCAGTCATCAAAAATACTGTCTCATAAAATAGTGAAAATGTACCAATTGTGTAACGAACAGCTTTCCATTAAGAAACACTACGGTTTTGGAATGAGGTAATCTGTAATTGTTTTCCACCTTATATTATATTTTAATTAAACGACTATTTTGTATTATTTTAGAGCTATAAAAAGCGTTTTGTTGACAGCAGGTTCGTTAAGACGTGAAAATCCTATTGTTGAAGAAAATGTAATTTTAATCAAAGCGCTAAAAGATAGTAATATACCAAAATTGCTAAGAGATGACGCCATACTATTTCAAGTATGTAATTCAATTTTCAATAACATTTAAACTATAATACAAAATATTTACATAGTTTAAACTTTAGGAATTATTAAATGATCTATTTCCCGGAGTTCTCTTACCAGAATACAACTATGAAATATTCCTATCGACTGTCACTAGCGTGATGAAAAATGAAGGCTATCAAATTATAGAGTGCATTTGTATAAAAGTTATACACTTATTGCAGACAATGATTATCCGACATGGTATCATAACTGTTGGTCCAACTGGAAGTGGAAAGACTACAATTTTAAAAATACTTAGTAAAACATTAACAGAACTTTACAATAAGAAAATAGAAAACCGACATTATAAACCAGTAAACATATACCGTCTGAATCCTAAAGCGATTTCTATGAACGAACTTTATGGCCATCTAGACCTCTTAACAATGAAATGGAGGGATGGATTGCTTGGAAAAATTATTAGAAAAACAGTTCAAGTAGAAAAGGAAGAATTTCAATGGGTGGTATGTGACGGCCCCGTAGATGCAATTTGGATCGAAAATCTTAATTCCGCACTTGATGATAGCAAGATTTTGTGTCTAGCCAATTCTGAACGCATAAAACTAAGTTCTTGGGTAAGAATTTTATATTCTAAATTATCTGCTCAATATTAATATTTTATAGATTAATGTAAAATCAATAATTTACAGGTTAGAATATTTTTTGAAGTTTGTGACTTATCACAAGCGTCGCCCGCCACAGTTAGTAGATGTGGAGTTGTTTATATAGACACATCGGATGTAGGGTGGTTACCATATGTACATTCGTGGATAAATAGATTACAAAATGACATAATTAAAAGTAGTACAAAGTTAAAAAATTATTTAGAATTACTATTTAAAACTTATGTTAACGAAGGTTTTTCATTTATTAACAAATATTGCTTGGCTCCTATCAAACAGGTATTTTTTACTTCCACTTATTAATCTTAAAAAAAAAAAAAAAAAAAACTATTAGAAAAAAAGATTTTATATTTTCATTATACTTTGTTTCAGGTTGAAATCAGTAAAGCAACTATGCTGTGTACTATTCTAGAGTCTCTATTAACTGAGCCAACTAGTTTTGATGTATCAACGGAAATTTCCAAAGTCCAACAATTTATTAGTCAATCATTTATATTTTCTTATTTGTGGTCTCTGGGATCAAATTTAATCGATTCTTCTCAAATAAAATTCGAAAATTTTGTTTTCAATCAATTTACAGACAAATCTAAGTATGGTATTCTACCTGAAATGGAATTATTTGACGTATACCTAAACACAGAAAAAAATAAGTTTGAAAATTGGAATACCATTGTCCAAGATTTTGTGTACAAGAAAAATATTCCTTATCATGAGTTAATAGTGCCTACAGTAGATAGCATCCGGTATACATATATTGTGCAAAGAATAGTACAAATGAATCAACCAGTGATGTTGACTGGAACAACAGGTTCGTAAAAATAGTTAAATGAAAGTAAGTTATAAATTATTTTTATACGTACTGCCATAATTGTACTATAATTTTAGGTGTAGGTAAGACTTCGGTAGCAAATTTAATAATGCAAAACTTAATATCTACGGGTAATTGGACGTCTGCAATGGTCAATTTTTCTGCGTATACCAATAGTAAAAGAACTCAAATAGTATTGGAATCAAAATTAGTGAAGAAAAAACGAAACTGTTTCAGTGCACCAGTAAATAAACGTTTAGTGTTTTTCATCGATGACGTCAACATGCCGATACCCGAAGTTTACGGTGCTCAACCTCCTATTGAACTACTACGACAACTTTTAGACTCTGGTGGCATTTACGATAGAGATAAACTAGATTGGAATGATATAGAGAATGTGATTTTGTGCACCATCTGCGCAGCTCCACGGGGAGGACGAAATCTATTAACTCCAAGATTCACAAGACATTTTTCAGTAATTTTCATGCCCACTACTAGTGAAAATGCCATGAAAACTATATTCACACCCATTTTAAACGGGTTTCTCGATGATTTTCCTCCAAATATAGCTAATTCTAGTCCTGAAATAGTGCAAGCCAGCGTCGAAATATATTTACGTATTTCAGAAGATTTGTTACCGATTCCGGCCAAGTCACACTACCTATTTAATCTTAAAGATTTGTCAAAGACCATACAAGGAGTCTTGCAAGCCAATTTCGACACAATAACGGATCGAATAAATTTATACAGGTACCTATATATATATTTCAGTGGTCATAACTCAGAATTATGAATTAATTGCACAAAATATTATTAGATGTTCACTCCCTTATGGATTCAAAATTAGAAAATTAATTTTCAAAATATCTTAAACATTAAAATTCTAAAAATCTAAATCTTTAATATTGATTACGAAGAAATTACGAAAGATACAAGAATAAAATAAATCAATGATCCCTGAAACAGTAAATTTTTTTCAGAGTTGATTATTTATGTTAAAATATAAAATAAATGACTCGTATCTCACAGCGCATATACGTTTAATCACTAAAATTTTTTAATTTAAGAATAATATTTATTGATATAATGTCGTATTTTATTTTCACGTAGACTATGGTATCACGAAACATTGCGTGTATATCACGATCGTTTAATTTGCCAAAAAGACAGATCGTATTTCTTTGATCTTCTTCAAAACGTGTGCGAACGTATTTTTAACACTTCTGTGTTAGACATTTTTAAATATACAGATAAGGATTCATCACGTCCTCCAGTGTTGTTATATGGTGATTTCATGAACCCAGATTCAAGAGAAAGCCGGATTTACAAAGAAATAATAGATATTGATAAATTAAAAACCATATTGATCAAAAACTTAACAGATTTTAATATAGCTTATAATAAAGACATAGAAATTATATTTTTTATGGATGCTATTGAACATATCACGCGTATCGCGAGGATATTGAGATCCGAAAGGGGAAACGCTTTATTAATCGGAGTTAATGGAATAGGAAAACAATCGTTGACTAAATTATCTTCATACCTTAACGCTTATAAGTAAGTATATTTTATAGTTATAAAAGTTATAAATACGAAATATTGATATCTAAACTAAAATTAAAATTTAATTAACGTAATTTTACATACTCAGATGTTTTCAAATTGAATTAACAAAATCATATAATCATACTGATTTTCGTGAAGACTTAGTAAATCTTTATCACAACACTGGAGTGAAATTTGAAGATACCACATTTTTATTTACAGACAATCAGATAGTTCAAGAAGAATTTTTAGAAGATATAAATAATATTTTAAGCTCAGGTAAATCAATGTTTAGTTCAATCAAAATACTAAAATTAATAATATAATTAGTTATTATTTATTAACAATATGTATTTCATAATTTATAATATCAATTCAAGGAGAAGTGCCAGACTTATTTAAAAATGAAGCTTTGGAGAAGGTGATAACTGCTTGCCGGCCGGCAGCAGTAGATTTGGAAATTGATGATGCAAATAAAGAAGTGATATTCAGATTTTTTATACAGCGCGTACGCTCTAAACTCCATCTCGTGGTGTCCATGAGCTCAATCGGCGATACACTTAGACGAAGATGCCAGCTATTTCCTTCATTGGTTTATAATACAACAATAGATTGGTTTGACGATTGGCCGACCGAAGCTCTTTTGTCTGTGGCCCATAAAAACTTAGAAGTAGCTTTTAGACAATCAGATAACCTTAACCTATTAGATAATTTAACGGACATCTGTTACAACATGCACTTGACAATCAGTCGGGTGACTGAAAAGTTTCGCAAGCAAACGGCGAGGCACTGCTACGTAACGCTCAAAAGTTATATGGAATTTCTGAAGTTATACGTGAAAATGCATGGATCCCAAACTGAAAAAATTAAAAATAATTCTGACCGAATTTCATATGGTTTGCGCAAGTTGTACGAGACATTCGATATGGTGGGAGATATGAAAACAAAATTAAAATCAATGTCACCGGCACTGATGGAAAAAAATGAAGCTACTTCAAAACTGATGGAAGGCCTAACAAAAGAAAAAGCAAGCGTAGATAAGGTCCGTAAAATAGTACTAGTTGAAGAAACAGCGGCGAAAATGAAAGCTTCAGTTGCACAGGAAATAGCCGAAGACGCGCAAAAGGACCTTACTTTGGCCATGCCAGCGATGGAAACAGCCAAATCGGCTTTAGAATCACTTAACAAAAATGATATAAACGAGCTTCGGATGTTGAGCAAGCCACATAAGCTCGTTCAAAATGTCATGGAAGCAGTGTGTTTATTATTTGGAAAAAAGTAAACAATCTAAAGATAAATATAGTACATAACTAGTCTATAACTTAGTCATAATAAAAAAATAATTTTCTTGGATTACAACATTTTTAAGGAATGCTATTTTTAGTAACATCTTTTTATAGATAATTAATTAAGAATAGAAACTACAAAAAAATTTTAAATAAATAAATATGTTTATAGCAATGTAGTTATAATTTCTTTAATAATTGTTGCAGTAATTATACTAAGAGTGTAAATAAGGGTAATAAAAACACCAAAACATTTTTCCACGGTGGTAAATTTTTCAACATAGTGAAACTGATTCATAGATAATTTTTAAAAGCTATGATAATTTTACTGATAAATATTTTTCTTTAGAACCGATTGGACTTCAGCTAAAACTTTACTAGGAGATACAAATTTTCTAAAAGCTCTACAAGAATATGATACAGACAACATATCCGACAAAATGATCAATCAACTTAAGCCTTATATCGAAGATCCGGATTTCAATCCACAAAAAGTAGCAACTCAATCAAAAGTGGCCAAATCGATGTGCATGTGGGTTCGAGCTGTTCACAGTTACTCTCTAGTATATCGAATAGTAGAACCCAAAAGAAAGAAGTAAAAATTAGCTTTTAATTTTAATTGTTATTTTATATTACTTAAACACTCAATATTTAACAATTTTTACATGTTAATTATCGTATAATCACTACAAGAAAAATAAATATTATATTATTCTTAATATCATTAATCCATCATTAATAAACTATCACTTAAGTGTTATGAAAAATGGTATTAAAAATTTATAGAGATTGGCCAAATAAGATATATTTCCAGTGGTGATTGTTGACTAAACGTATGAAAATTTAAGCACACATTTATTAATAATAATGACTGATGAGTCATGATTATATCATTATACAAAATATACTTATTATTAAAATATTGTTATATGTTTTTTAATTGAATATTTTATAAATATTTAAAAGTTGCATAGAAATCAATAAATAATAGTAATAATTTTTAAAATCCGAATTTATATTATGTTACTACATAATTTTTGATTTAATCATAACATCTATAGCATTAATTATAATTCGTGTAAATATTTAAAAAAAATTTGTATAAATTATATTGTACATTACATTTTTTAATTTAAGAATGTTTCTAATGCAAGTAACGAACTAAAAATAAAGTATTAAAATATTGGCGTAATATGGTGTTATAATCACAACTATTGTTAATTTTATTTATTTTGCAAAATAACTTGAGGCTTTTTATATAATTGTAAATAACTAATATAGCTACCTTTTTCTAGACAACAAGAAGCCGAAGATGAACTCAATGTTGTGTTAAAAGAGCTGAGAACAAAACAAAAAATGTTAGCTGATGCAGAAGAACGCCTACAAAAACTCGAAGGCATTTATGATATGAGCGTTTCAGAAAAAAACAAATTGGAGTTAAACATAGAAAGAACACAATCGCGTTTAAGCCAATCAGACTTACTAGTTGCAGCTCTAAGTGATGAACAACAGAGATGGGAAAACAATTTAAAAGTATATTTTTCACGCGGTTAACATATAATTATTTAACCCTAGATTTCTAGACACGTTTTATTGTTACAGACATACTCTCGACGTCTTTTGACTATAACTGGAGACATAATAATAGCAGCCGGAAGTATCACCTATCTGGGACCATTTACGGATGAATATCGTAAAGAGATAACCCTTTCTTGGTTAAAGGAGTTAACACAACATAGTGTACGACATTCGCCAAATTATTCTCTGAGCTATGTATTGCTCGATCCTTCTGAGTTGCGATCATGGAATGTCTACGGACTACCCCAGGATTCGGTGTCGACGGATAACATGATAATTGCGACGAGAGCAAGTCGTTGGCCGTTGATGATAGACCCTCAAGAACAAGGAAACAAATGGATCAAGGATTTAGAAGCAGACAATTCTCTGAGAATATGCAGAGGTACGGATTCCTCTGAAAACTTAATGAACGTGATTATCGACGCAGTCAGACTGGGATACACTGTGTTGATCGAAGGCATTGATGAGCACATAATCCCAGCACTCAGGCCCGTGCTAGAGAACGTCACGTTTTTACGAGTAATTATTGATACAATCAAAATTAATTAATTCAAAATATATCACCATATTTTATTTTTCGCTCCGATCTAGAAAATTCTTAAAATATCATTATCTCTAACCTATCATATTGAATTATCTCAGAACCTGCAAGAAATTTGAAATGTAATTAGTGAATGATTTGTTAGAAAATAATAAAATTATTCTATAACATTGATCCTCATAAATGGATGGATTTACTATCAAATGTACTTTATACATTTATTATATATTTTATCCATATCGTCAACAAATATTTACCAATATTACAGCTCTTAAAATTTTAAAAAAATACTAGATTCTATAAAATATCCTAAAAATACTAGTTATAATTTATACAAATATTATTATTATAAATTGTTAATAGGATGAACGTTTTTTTATGCAAATCGGTAATATTGACGTAGAATACGACAATAAATTTAGATTCTATATGACGACCAAAATGTCAAATCCTCATTACCTACCAGATGTATGGATACAAGTAACGATAATAAATTTTATAGTAACAGAAAAGAGCTTAGAAGATCAGTTATTAGTGTAAGTAATTTAAAATATTTTTAAATACTTCGACGCGGTTTGAACTATATAATAGTACCTATATTAAAATAGTATATACCTAATTGTAAGTCTAATTTGAACAGTCACGTCGTGCAATTAGAAAGGCCAGATTTGGAAAATATTAGGACCGAAATAAATTTGAGTATAAAGAATGACAATAATTTATTAAAAGAAATGGAAGAAAAAACGTTAAAAATGCTATATATGTCTGAAGGAAATATTTTAGATGATGAAGAACTCATCGATGCACTCAACAATAATAAAGTAATCTAATATAATGTTTTGTACTTAATTTTATATTTGTAATATTTTATTATTTTATTTTTATTTTTTAGGAATCATCAATTATTGTTTCTGGACGTTTGATCGATGCAGAAGAAACGGAAAAAAACATCAATATCGCACGAGAACGTTATCGAGCGATAGCAAAACGAGGTTCATGCCTTTATTTTGTTGTGGCTCAGCTGTCTGAAATTAATATTATGTATCAGTTTTCTTTGAACTATTTTAAATCTGTAAGTATTGAAAACGATATATTATGTTAATATTATCTTTTTAACAAACAAGATTTATTTTAGATATTTTGCAATGTGATAAAAAAGAGTAACAAATCGATTAAAATCGACGTAAAAATACCAATCCTAGTCGAAGATATTACCATGGCTGTATATATGAATATTTCTAGAAGCCTTTTTGAACATCATAAATTAATATTTAGTTTCTTACTAAGCATCAACATACATTTACAAATAGGCAAAATAACTAATTTAGAATGGAATTTTTTGCTTTACGGGCCTACAAATATGATGAAAATAGACATTCCAGAGAAACCAGTAGTATTATCATTGTCGGAAAACGCGTGGAAAACGGTAAATTATATGTCTGAAGTGTTTCCTAAGTTTAAAAGTCTTCCAGAAAACTGTACCAAACGTATACAAATCAAACTTGGTAACTTCGTTCAAGATATTCATTTAGATCCTAAAAATAATGACACCCTGATAAATTGGGATTCAATTTTGAACCCATTTGAAAAACTTATGATTATTAGAGCTCTTAAAGAGGAAAAATTGATTTGTGCAATCTCTAATTATGTTAGTACTGAACTCGGAAAAATGTTTATTGAAAGTTCGGAAATTTCACATCGTTTACTGTACACCAACACGTCATCTACGGTACCTTTAATTTATATAATCAGTCCAGGTTCGGATCCATTTGAGTCATTTCAAAAGTTTTCAGTAGAATTTGGAAAAATAGACAAGCTATATGCATTGTCTCTTGGTCAAGGCCAGGAACTTGTTGCAGAAAAATTAATAAAAAGTGGCAAAGAAAAAGGCGATTGGATTTTTTTACAAGTAATGTATTATATTATAAAATGTATTTATATCGTATATGAGTAAGTTATATTATTTTTAACGTTATTTTCAGAATTGTCATTTAGCGCCATCGTGGATGCTTCAAATGGAAAATCTAATTCGAGAACTGATCGACAATCCGTCGAATATCAATCAAAATTTTCGACTGTTTTTAAGTTCAATGCCATCAAAAAGTTTTCCTACTTTTGTCTTACAAAATTCTTTGAAAGTTACCCACGAATCTCCAAAAGGCTTGCGAGCAAAAATGAAAAAAATGTTTGCCGGTATGAATGTCGATTTCTTCGAAGATAACGGTAAATATAGTAATTTCACTAAAAATTAGTACACAAAATTTTTGCCATTTAACTTGTTTATCAACTATATAATATAAACGGTCCTATAATAGCTTTTCGATCTGATTGGCGAAAAATGGTATTTGGGTTATGTTTTTTCCACGCCATCATATTAGAAAGAAAAAAATTCGGATCACTTGGATGGAACGTACCGTACATGTTTACTGACAGTGACCACGAATCCGCTATGCATTTATTACAAACATACTGCTTAACCGCAAATGAAATACCCTGGGATGCCTTGCAATATACCATGGTCGAGATAAATTATGGTGGCAGAGTTAACAATTATTGGGATCAAAGAACTATGAAAACAATACTTTTAAATTTCTTTGATCCTCGTGCGCTCCAGTCAAGTAATTAATAAGAATGAATAATTGTCAACTACTTGTAAAGATCTATTGATAGACTTTAAAATATAATTTCAGATTATAAATACTCTGAGTCTGGTATTTACTTTTGTCCAGAAACAGAAAACTGTTCCACCATCAATAAATATCAGGGATTTATAAATAAACTACCAACAACTGAAGAACTAGACATATTTGGAATGCACATAAATGCAAACATAGTATATCAAGTATAAACTAGAATTTTAAAATAAACTTATTTATATATACATAAATGGTAATAACTTATAATAATTATATTTAAAAGACTAGAGAAACACAAGAGATATTACAGACAATCGTTGGTGTCTACTCAAAATCACTAACAGGTGTTGCTAGTAAACCAGATGATGAAATCGTTATAGACAAGGCCATTGACATTTCCAAAAGACTCATTAACTCTATAGACTTTCAACAAGCCCATTTAACCATATTGAAATCTGACGAAAAAGGACAATTGTCTCCATTATCTAGAGTCTTATCGCAAGAGATCGAACATTTTAATACATTACTCGACGTTGTGCACAAATCTTTAACCGACTTACGTGAGGCCATCGAAGGACAACAAATTATGTCTATAGAATTAGAAGAAATTTACTGGTCATTTGTGAAAAATACTGTAATATAGAAATAATAATAATAATGTATAACATTTAATAAATTGAAAAACTTCAAAGGTACCGACAATATGGCAGAACAAAGCGTATCCCTCGTTGAAGACTTTGGGTAGTTGGATCAAAGACTTGATACTAAGACTAGATTTCATTAATGTGAGTTGTATAATTTTATGATTTTCTTTGTAAGTATTATAAAATAAAAATAATTTTTAAGATCTGGACAATGTTTGGAAGTCCTCCTTCTTACTGGATATCCGGCTTGTATTTCCCACAAAGTTTTATTACCGGATGTCTGCAAAGACATGCTCGAAAATATAGCATACCCGTCTATAATTTGAAATTCGATTTTGAGCTTACCAGCATTGTTCTGGTACAAGAGGAAATTGCCACCATACATGCAGCCAGCTTGAAAGAAGAAACACACGTTTACAAAGGCTTGACAGAACAAGAAAATGGTGTTTACGTCCACGGACTCTTTCTAGATGCCGGACGTATTGACTTGGACAACAAACGTCTTGTGGATGCCATTCCAGGTAATTATAATCATATTGAACGTCAAACTATATACGTGTATCTACTAATTCAGTATTGTTGTTGCAACTTTTGTAAAGCTTAATATTATAATAAGACGTAATATCTACTTACATCATGCGTTTTATTTCAGGTGAATTGCATTCTCCATTACCGGTTATACTACTAATGCCTTCCATAGACATAGATAAAAATAGTTTGCGATATAATTGTCCCGTGTATAATACTACCGATCGAACAGGTGTTTCTTTGATTACTGGGCAAGGGAAAAATTTTATAGTTGGTATATTATTACCGACAGACTTTCCGGAAAGCTATTGGACCCTTAAAGGAACCGCTCTAATAGCACAAATAACAAATTAATTCTCAAACTGTTTAATATTATATTACATTCGATGTTCGTGAACAATAAACAGTAAATGGAGCATATTGTTTTGTATTCACATTAATCCGTGAAAACGATATTAAAATCATTTATTAGTTGCAAGGTAGTAACGCTTAAGTATAAGTAATAGAACATTGTTTACCAAAAATACTGAATGATTGAAAATTTTAAAACAAATTATAAGATCATTATTAGTATTAATAAATCAGTATTTTAAATTTATGTGTGCATCGTTTTATAAATAAAATACTATCTTGGCATTACTCATCAATGATCTTATCTAGATAAATATTATGCCAGTTATCTAATGACTATCTTTGATAACTTACTAATCTAAATAAATTTATCTTTAATCACCTCAAATAACATATATATTTCTCGTGAATAATATTCATATACATTTTTTTTAATTTTCTGCCAAAAGACATAATTTAATCGGTACATGACTTAAAATGATTTCTATTAATATATGGTACATAATACAATCAGTACTTTTAAGACGATCTTCGGACATATTCAATTATTCAATAAACGCATAAGAAAAAACATCATAATCTAGATAAATTCAACTTCATTTAATCCAAGTATTGCTATTATTTTATATTTTTTAAATCTTCAAATTAATACTAAATACGTGATTTTTGACTAATTTATAGTTCATATTTTTATACTTATAAATATTATTTAAGAATATAATTAGTTATATTCTTTTCCAAGAATTCAAAAAATTTAAAAAAAATTTTTGAATCCATGTTATTAAAATTTATTATTTAATAATAACCTTAGTATAGGTAACTTACTCACATCTTAGATGATTCAGATTCTGATCCTTAGGCGGTTACTGTCAATGTTCCTCGAGGTTATTTTAACTCTTTTATCTTTATTCTTTTTATTAACTTAATTAGAAAGTGTATAAGAAAGGCAATATTCATCTAATTCATCGACAACCTTAATTACACATTTACACTAAGATCTTTGTAAGAAATACTTTCTCAGCTAATTGTCTAGTCCTTCAGCTCAAGCTTAATAGCTTTGAAGACTGAATAATAAACATCTTAAATTAACTCTTAACATCGAAAATATTACAATTTTTCTTTTGCCAAGAATTTATCCTATTGCAGTATAATTACTTCTTAAATTATCAAAACAGTAAAACGCTATAATATACGTAAATGTCTATATGGTAAAAATGTAGTAATACTGTTAATACTATCTGCGTAAGTTTGTCTTTTGCAATTAACTACCAGTGGTGTGGCATCTTCTTAATATTTCTATGGATAATTTTAACTTCCTTCCGTAATTTATACTGTAATGTTTGAATGTTAAAAGTCACCATATATTTGCTGAACCTACTCATAACAACTACTAATAGAAACAATCATCACATATCTACACTTGATGTTTTACATGACAAATTAATAGTGAATTTTGTATAATTTTCCAAAAAAAATTTAAGTTAAAATCAATATTATACACGTTTTAGTTACTTGAAATTAATATACAGTGTCTTAAAAATGTAACACTAACTCATTTCTCAACTATATTTATTCATCTTTATTGATATCTAAGTAAATGTGTATACAATTTATTGTTACATCTTATTTAAATTTTTAGTTATCCATTTTTAAGACTGAATGTAGATGTATTTTAAACAACAAAAAATTGAAAAAATTTTACTAATTTTACTCAAATATTAAGATATTTTGTATTCTTTTTAACGATACGCCTTTTTTAAATCTTTTGTCTCTGTTGTCTATACTTGTCACTTGATAACATTTATCAAGTATCACTACTAGAAATACGTCAAATAATTTTATGCATATCATTTTTTTTTTTTAACAATTTACGAACTTGACAAACAGACAACTGCAGACATATTAAAATCACGTTTCATTTTAAGAGAATCATTAGTAGAACGGTAGGTATACCTACTACAATATTTTAAAGATAATAAAACTGTCAGTAATTGTTACCAAAAATCAACGACACAAACAATATGCAAATGCACTGTAAACAGTAGGAATAATGGGATCGATAATAATAAAATATAATATATTATATCAACATAATGGACATAAAATGGAAACTGAAGAGCCACTATCAATGTATATTATTGCTATGAAAATAATAATATGCAAATAAATCCGTCAGTGACTCGTAAAACTAATATAGATGTAAACGAATAGAATAAATAAATATTGTAAAAACAAATATCATTGTTAAAATACAATTTGTTTTTTACCATCAATGTTTATTGTTCTGGACTTTAATAATATAAAAATCGATACGGTTATAAAATGTTTGTATAAAATTGAATACATTTTGTCTGAGCTAAGAAAATAAAATATTATAGGTTGCATCATCGGAAACACACATAAAAAAAAATCTAAAATACCAACAAAAAATCACAATTATTTTTTCTTAATCGTTTGCATATTTTTAAATCATTTTATTTTTTTTATTTTCACAAAATGGTTGATAAATATTTGTTATAATTAATAACATTATAACCACTTATAAAAATTTAGCATAAAACCGTCTTGTAGTGGTAAGTAAATATTTAATGAAAAATTGTAAATACGAGTACACTACATAAAAAAATGTATTTTATTATGTCTTCATAAAAAAAGAAAAAAAAGATCTAAGTTACTACACATGATCACAATCCATATTTTAGACTGAACATAATTTTCTTATTTATGAACAATATCAAAAAGTTATATTCATAAATGTTAACTCTTTGAAACTGATTACCAGCAAAATAATTTGTTGTTTTTATGAAATTCTTAATTTATAATACTTGATTATTTGTTAATTATTATTTTTGTTTAAAGAATAACTAGGATTTCGCTTTGCTGTATGATGGAATTCAAGAATAGGTATTTCGTCAGTTCGTCACTATATATTTTTATCAAATTTGCTTTAGAATAAATTCTAAATATGTAATTTAAAAAAAATTAACAGACATTTAACTATAAGTTAATTTAAGTTTTTGAGAAGAACAATAAATTTACTTATTGATTTTACAATAGTGTGTGTTTTATGTCTATGTATACGTGATTAATTATAAAATAAAAAAATGCTAAAATGAAAAAATTTAAGAACTTTGAAATTTTTAAACAAAATCGAATTTATTATTTTATTTATATTCAGAAATATTAAATTAGGTACATACGCTTAATATTTTTTATAAGCATTTAAAGTTGAACTTTTTGACAAAAATCAAAATCACGAACATTTGATGATAATTATTTAGTTAAAAATGTATATTAATACATAATATATATTAATTTTTATAGCTAAAACTTAAAAAATTAATAAAAAGTTTTCACAAATATTAAATACTAGAAAAAACAAATCTAAAAAAATATCTAAACGAATTTTATTTTTTTCGTGTATTCAATAGCTTAAATTAAATTCTAATATTTTAAAAAATTTATTGTGTATAGAAAAATATTATGATGAAAGGCTTAAGTCCCCAGTTATGCGACGTGTAAAATTAATTTACTATTGTTTCATTTTTTTAATCACCAATATAAACAATTTTTACTTTAAATAAAATATAGTTACATTAATAGTATGAACTCGCGTTACTTTTATTTTTTTTTTTTTAACTAGAAAATTATACAATCTATACAAACAAAGTACAATAGGCATAAAGTATGGTTTTTTTTTTAATTATGTGTAATGGCTTGATGTCTTGAGGGAAGAAACCATCCAGTGAAGGTACTTCGGTAACTTAGTATCTAACTGAAAAATACTTTTACGCATATTGTTCAAACAAAAAAATAATTTATTAAAAGCTAATAACTCTGTAAAATAATGCAAATTAGAACTGAATCTTAATTAATTTAAGATATAAATAGATTTAAGTCAATCTTTTATTTTAAGAAATAACAATTTTATACAATAAACTATTCTAAGCTAAAATATTAATTATTAAATATAATTATTATACCTATATTATTGTAAATCACTTATAAATCGTGCCGTAATATCTACTGATGAATTAATAGTGCAAGTAAGTTCGTGGTATACGACATACGTAAACAGCTTAAACCTAGTCTAAATATTTTAAAAATCTCATTGTGTATAGAAAATAATAATAACTTTAACAATTTTGGACATTATCGAGCCACTAAAATTAATGTTTTTTGATTATCGAGAGCAGGATAAATCGTATCTGTTCACATTTAACAAAATATAAACTTCAAACGCCTATGAAATAATATTGTGCCTACAAGTATAAATTTCCGATATTTTTAAATTGCAATAAGAACTAAGTACTTACTTGTATTGTATTTTCAATTTTTTGTAAGTTGAAAAAAAAAACATTTTTATTAATATCAATCAAACAATTCAAATGCTTGTATATAATTTAAATTTCATTCAAAAATCTTCAATAGTTAATTAAAATATATATTAGAATAATATAAATTTATTAATATTTAAATATTTCATTCGGTTTTTTTTTTTATATAACCTACAATAAAACAAGTAAATTCACTTGAAAAATTCATTATTTTTCATTTAATTATCTGATTTTGTCAACATTTGAAGTTCTAAGTTAAATTCTGTTTTACAAAAAAAAATTTGCCAGTATATTAAAATAGTGCACACCCACAACTTTAAAAAGATTTTTTTCAGAATCACATTTCAGCTTTTGATATTACAAAGATTTAATTAAAGCTAAAAATTTTATGAATTTTTATTTACGAAATAATATCATGTATACTTGTGTCATAATAATTATGCGAATTATTTATAAATTATTAATTAATAATATATCCATGAAGGTACCTTTCAGTCTACATTTACTACTTACCATAATATTATGTTTATAGTTAGTACCATCAAAACGTTCAATGTCCATTGGTTAAGAAAACAATGATAAAACGTGAAAAAATGTATGACGGTGAATATGATTATTTTATTATGCAAACACGTGTCATGTGTGTACACAACAAAAAAACTGTACGATAGAAAAATATTTATTCACATAAATTACCAAACAAATAAAATATGCCGTCATAACGTTGTATTTGTTTGTCTACTGCAATCAAAATCGCCTTTTCATAATCAAAAAATAATAATAATTAAATAAACATAGCGCTCGTGTTTTATTAAGCCGATAAAA